ATGAATAAAGGCTTCATTTGAGCGAAAATGGATCGTGCCAAAGAGTAGGAATTGAAATTTACAACTTACAAGTGCATATCGATATTTAGTCTTACTATATATTGGTCATCTGATCTTATTAAATTGCGTATCTGATATTGAATCTTATTATCGTTATTCCCGAAATCTATAACTTAACCGAATCGGTCGAAAAATCATTCGGCTAATTTTTATCAGGTGTTTCAGGAATTATGATAATAGCTGTAACTAAAATATGTCTCAGCTCTGTTGTAGCCAGCTGTTAACCGCGTGGAGCCGGTAATTTGCATCACTACACTCATCTCTAACTCCCTTCAAACGACTCAAGCACCTAGTTTGTTTACCAAAATTAAATAGATTAACCTAGGCCGAATGATAGTCATGTGATATTGTGATGATCATCTTCCCGAGATATCTTCGCTCAAAGTTTAAAAAAATTTTTAGCACAAATTTCAATAGGCTTTTCGAGTTTTTTTTTAAAAAAACTTTGAGCGAAGATATCTCGGCAACTACCAAGCCAAATTCGATGAACTTTTTTTTATTCCGATGAACCTATTTTATTTAATCAATAGAAAAAAGTGTCGTTTTTGGCCTAGTGGTTTTAATTATATCTTCGCTCAATTTTGTCATTTCGCCAAGTCGATCATTGCTGTATCAACAAAGGATATAAGTCACATGGTTGCTGTGTCGGTATAATTTCCCTTTTTTAAATTAGTGACGCTAAGGGGGATTAATTATCTTTGATTCTTAGTACGTTTCGCTTATCATTATCAATTCATCAGAACGGTAAAAAATCCGAAATTAAATAATTTGAATATAAAAATTAACGAAAACTGTCAATACATCAATTGAGAAGCTTTTATATTCTTTTACAAGCATACCAGAGAAATTTTTTCCTGCTCTGTATTTCTCAGGCTTGCTCAGTTCGGCACAATACATAAGAACAAGACTATAGACTTATATGGCGCTTTCAGCTGGTAATATCCTTTTTTTTTTTTAGTTAGAAATAGATGATCATATTAGCTGATCCTATCGATAAGAGCAAACATAGCGAATTTTTATTTGCTGGAATTAAGTCGCTGCCTTAACGTTATGAATACTGTCACGTTTATTGTGAATTAATTATCTACAAAAAATCTAATTTACGTTTTTAGAAATAAAATAAATTAATAAATAATAAAAAAGGGTTGAAGCACATTCCAATAAATGATATCAAAACATTGATAATTTGAAATTTAGTGCATATATACCCTATAGTACATTTACCAAGAGACACCAACTTTAATATTCATTTTATTAACATTTTTTATTAAATTTAAACGGTACTTTATCTCAAATGAAGTGAAATAATTAATTTATCACACCTATTATCAAAATTAAAAAATTTTTTAAATGACTCTCCGGATTCACCTAATTCAATATCATATTTTCTAAATATTAATGCCATTAAGGTTTTAACATTAGTCATTCCCATATGACGTCCTGGGCATATTCTAACTCCTCCACCAAATGGCATATAACTATTTTCTTCACTTTTTTTGCAATTAAGGAATCTATCGGGTATGAATGATTCTGGATCTGACCAATGTGCTTCGCTGTGATGGATATAATTACAATTAATAAAAAATTCTTGACCAGCTTTCCAATCAAGACCACCGATTGTATCTTCTTTAATTGAGCTCTTGTAAAGAATTGGTGCTATAGGGATGATGCGTAAAGATTCTTTAATACAAGCTTCAGTATAAGTCATTTTAATAATATCATCGTAAGTTATGGGACGAGTTTTATCGTCACAGAAGATTCGATCTATTTCTTCATAAACCTTGTATTTTGCTACGGGATTCGAGCAAAGAAGATATATTGTGAAACATAACACGGAACCTGCCTTTAATCATAAATTTGTATTAGATAAATCTTTTATAATAATATAATTTAATATAAATATAATATCTGTATACTTACAGTATTAACACCTCCAGTTATAGATTCGAGCATAAGTTGCATGATCTCATCATCAGCCATAGGTTTTGAATGATTATTTACTTTATCAATTCGTATGCTTCTTTCTGTATTAGCACATATAAATAATGTTAAGATATCTGAGCTTAGCATTTCGTCTTTGGGTGTATTCTCAATTTCCTTTCTTCTGTCTCTTACTATATTAGTTAAATATTTATCTAACCATTCTATGTTCTTTAAATATTTTGATTGTTGAAAATTAAAAGGAGGTACGTAACTCCTAATTAATTTTGGGATAAAATAAAAGAAATGAATGCTTTTTTGCCAAAGGTGAATTCGATTAATTAATTCTTCAGATTGTCGAAGTTCGTTTTCAAGGTTGAAAGTTTTACAATTATATGGTGAAATATAATTATAATAAGTTGCCATTGCGTAAGTTTTTTTCTTTGTGAACGTATGAATAATTAAATCGTTCTCAAACTTGTAGATCCATTTTGAGAAATCCAATTCATCTCCTGAAACTAACCAGTATCCATCCAATTCATTAAAAAATTTTTCTATATCTTGAACAAATTGTCTTAAGAATGAAGGTATCATAATACTTTTAGTCACCATCGTTCTATTATATCTCCATGAATTTAAATTGGTATTAAGTCCGATTCCTTTGTTAGTAACTTTCATTTCATTAATCCATGATCCCTTAGCACGAATTGGAAAGTTTGATTTTGGTGATGGGTCATTAATTTTCTTAACAAGTTTTGCATTTCCTAACCAAACTTTACGTTCCGAACCTATAAATACTTCAAATATTTCACCGTATTTTGTTTGAAGATTAAAAAATACAGCATCAATTTCTCCGTGAAATAGATGAAGATTACCTAGTGAACAATGAATTAATAAAATATATATTATAAATTCATAAAGTGCGTAAAAATTAGTAATTTTAGTCATACATACCAATTAGAGGAAACGGAAAAGGTCCTGGTAAAGGATTGTGACGAGTGAAATAGGAGTAATAATACCTAGCAATACATAATAAGATAGCAACAAATAATATTGCTAGCCAGTCTTTAAAGGCTTGAGGTGTAAGAGTCGTAATTAATTGAATATGTGATCTCATTGTTTTGTTTTCTTTTCTTTTTTTCGAATGAGTATATAGAAACCTTTTCACTTTATATAAGAATGCTACTTCGATATTTAAATATACAATGGTTTTCTAATTTCTTCCAATAACACTTTGATAGTGTAAATATTTTTCCGTGTACGTTATAATATAAGTAAATATATATATATATGCATTGAATTAATTATTTTTTGTCATACTAACTAATTATTATCCGACAATTTAAATTTTTGATAAAATATATAACTTTTTGCAATAATCTCTCGTTTCTGCATTTGATCTACTTTTTATATTCTGATATCACTTATCACCTGGGAATTAGAGGTGCGATCTGTAAACTATTAGTTAATATAAATAAATTGTAGTTTATTGTAAAACTGTAGTTTTAAATAATTTACAGTTTATTGTCCGAAGGACACTACTGGGTAGGTCAATAGTACACCCGATGTCCGTGTGTTAACAAATTCTGAAACCTGATCGGCTAGATCAGGTGTAACGTAAAAAATTTAAAAAAAAACAACCGAACCTAACGTTTATTGGCTAGATCAGGCGTAATATAAAAAACAAACTGACACGTTTAATAGTCAAATTTATATATATATATACTGTATAATATAGTATAAATTAAATATTTGGTCCTTCGGACTTTGAATGGTTTCCATTTACCTAGTTTATATGTACTGTAATTCACAGTTCACACCTCTACTGGGAATAACAAATATTGATTATATAGAGCGATTTACAAATAAACTGAGCTATTGATGATAGAAATAAAGGTGTTTAATTTTTAATACCTTAATTTTCATAGACAATACCTTGACGAATTTTAAAATTTAATAATTTAAAAGTGAAAGAAAGTTTTTAATCAGGTCTATTTTCATTTAAATTATCAAAATATTATACGTTCGGTTCTACCACAGAATCTCGACATCCAAAATTCTGTCACTCAAAATCCCGAAAATCAAAATCTCGAAAGTACCCAAATCCCGTTTAATTAAAATCCCGAAATCCTAATATAACATCAGAATTTTAGTATTGTCGGGATTTTAACCTGATGGGATTTGGTACTTCCGGGATTTTGGACGTCGGGATTCTGTGATAGAACCTGACCGTTCATTTGCTTAGAGTTAATACTTGGATCCAGATTTATTCTTTTATTGTACATCCGAATTTAATCATTAGATTCGGATTTAACGGATTTAGTCATTAGATCCGGCGTAAAATCCGGATTTAAATATGCAGGCACATTATCTGTGTTACGACCGGTAGGAGAGCTTATTATTATAAGGTCTTGGACCAATTTAGTTTCGATCGTGAACAAACAGTGGTTAAAGTTAAATGGTTTAAATCGATAAACTAACCTACATAATTACAGGTTAAGGTTTCTCTTTATTAACATAAATCAAGCCATAATACTAAATACTATCAATAATCGTTAATAATTGTGACGGCTGAAGCTGAACTTGGCTTATGCTGAATATCATGTGATGTTTCGGGCCGGAATTGCAGATCATGTCACGTATCGATCATGCCGTACGTACCATTCGGCCCGGAAATTGCAGACTAGATTTCAAAAATTGCCTAACCATA